GCTTTTCATTTAGTTCCAAAATGCATACAAGTATGATAATAAACTAATTAGGATTATAAGACCAAACATAAAGACGTACATTGACTAGTATCTACATACTGGCGAGTGGACGTTAAGCACGTGAATGTAGCAAGAAATTTATCTCGCGGTATTGTCACTTCGACCCCCACCTCGCTTCCGTGGAAGCAATAGTTATGTTACAAGTTGTGTCATGCAAAATCCTTTTGGTCATGATTCAAATACATATTTAACTACGAGTACAAAGTAGTTTTGATTTTCTAACTTGATGAAAACAAACCATAATCTCATTAATTCTAACAGACTTTAGCCCGTAACTTTACGATTTTCAAAAATGGCGGCGCCCTGTCGCGAACACCCGCCAGTCTGAGGATAAATGCTATTTAGGTTTGTTTTCACCGAATTACAAAATCAAAACTACTTTCTACTGGTAGTAAATTATGTATTTTATTGATGGCCAATAGGATTTTGCATGACATAGCTTATAACATAACAATTTCTCTCGTGGAAGCGAGGTGGGTGTCAATATAATACTACTAACAGTATTATTGTTTCTTCGACCACAACCTCGCTTCCGAGGAAGGAATCGTTATGTTACAAGTTGTGTGATGGAAAATCTTTATGGTCATCAATCATATACTTATTTTACTACAACGAGTAAGTAGTTTTGATTCTTTAAAGGTCACATAAACCCTAGGGGGTACAAATACATAAATCACTAACTGGCATCGTTATAAATGAAACCCCGTCATTAAAACTACTCATTTCGACCTTTAATTGACTTAAATCGACCTTTTTGAAAACAGTGCGCAATTCTCACCCGCGAACGAAATTTCAACCAATCAGAGCGGCGCGCCTCTGTGACGTCATATGAGGAATAGCTTTGAGGGCCAATACAGAATTCATCTACATTTTAGGGGTTAAATTATCTTGTTTACAGGCTTGTATAAACCTGAAATCGTGACAATTGTTGTGGAAAATGAAAGCTATATGTTCTCACAATCTACTGTCATTTAAGTTTAAGTCTCCTGCTTTGCCTAGTTTCCAAGTTACAACTTGTTTTCATAGACGATTCTGTCAAAATCGATTGGTGTCGTTAGACCCAATTTGTTTATTGACTGATCCAAATTGATCCCATTTCTGTGTTTGTTCACCTCGATATTTGATCATGTCATGTAAAAATTCGTTTGTATTCTCCAAACAGTGTCGGCCCATGAGTTTTCACATGCAATACAGCAATTAATACTCCCTTGCTGTAACCCGTGTTAGGTGGTATAAACCTACACATGTTATTTGTCATCATTCACTTGATGGTCAGTTAATGAATTTTTAACAGGTATAATTAGTGGTAACACACTTAGATTACCCGACAAAGGTTCCCATTTGGCATTTCTTGTGTCTGGAGTAAATATTAAACATTATAAACATCGATCAAAGGATTAAACGATAACACGCTGATTGATTAATTACTTTTATCTTACACAGCGGAATTGTCAAAAGGTAGTGTTTATGTATGTAGATTTACTAAACTATACTGAATACACTCTGTCGTGTCGGTGTCTGCGTCAAGACAACGTCTTTCTTTCAAAGGATTAACAGGCAATACATTGATTGATTGCCCATTATTGGCTAACTAAATTACTGTTTTTAAAGAAAGGCGGACATTATGCAATTAGTTGCCAGGTGTGCTATCTTGGGTGACCAATGAGACTATACACCAATACCTGAAAAGATTTATCACTTTTTCGTATTATTTAACTGTTAAAAGACACATCATTTTGAACAGTTTTGTGGATATTGATGGATACATTCCTCGAACAAGGTAATGGCCTGATATTGTTCCTATAACTTTAATCTGTTTTAATTTAAATATTTGCATATGTTTTTATTCATTTGTCGTAGAATTCAACAGAATCATTGTTTTTGCCGTGAAGTGTAATGAGACAGACAACATGCACTAGGGTGTGTGGCGAATTATGATTCACATTGGCAAACTATAAAATGTCTAGATATTACAGTTCTGTTATAAATTCACTATAAGTATCAGCAGATCGTCTGCTTTTTATTTAGTTTCAAAATGCATACAAGTATGATAATAAACTAATTAGGATTATAAGACCAAATATAAAGACGCACATTGACTAGTATCTACATACTGGTGAGTGGACATTAACCATGTGAATGTAGCAAGAAATTTATCTCGCAGTATTGTGACTTCGACCCCCACCTCGCTTCCGTGGAAGAAATCGTTATGTTATAAGTTGTGTCATGCAAAATCCGTTTGGTTATGATTCCAATACATATTTAACTACTTAGTAGAAAGTAGTTTTGATTTTCTAACTTGATGAAAACAAACTATAATCTCATTAATTCTAACAGATTTTTTATTTTTAAAATGGCGGCTTCTGTCGGGAACATCCGCCAGTCTGAGGATAAATGGTATTTAGGTTTGTTTTCACCGAAGTTACAAAATCAAAACTACTTTCTACTGGTAGTAAAATATGTATTTTATTGATGGCCAATAGGATTTTGCAAGACATAGCCTATAACATAACAATTTCTCTCTCGGGCAGCGCAGGTGGGTGTCAATATAATACTACTTACAATATTATTGTTACTCTCGACCACAGCCTTAAGCTTCCGAGGAAGAAATCGTTATGTTACAAGTTGTGTGATGGAAAATCTTTATGGTCATCAATCATATACATATTTTACTACAACTAGTAAGTAGTTTTGATTCTTTAACTTCCGTGAAGCGATCTGAACACAAGTAAGATATCGCTTTCAGGCTTCCACAACGCCGCCGCACTCACAAACATAACCCATTTAGCACGGACTGCGGGTCCTGTGGAAATCTGTGCATGGGGACACCATCGCCCGACCCTAGGAGCAATTGACGACAACACAACGATTTTGCATGTCTTCGTTGATGTCGAGAAATCATCAAAATGACGAGCTTGCTACACACTTTCTATACAATTAACTGAAAATCGTTCCTCATATGACGTCACTACAGTGCTCTGGCGACAGAGTTACGTAACCTGTCTGTGGTTTCGTTAGCGGGCGAGAGTGAAGCAGGCGACTTTTGGGCCACTTTTAATCGCTCGGTATTAATTAACCACAAGTTTTTAAAGAATAAATTTGGTGTTCCGCATAAGACTAACCACAAATCTTTCATATGTAATAGTTAAAAGAGTAACAAAAAACAAAGTTTATTGGTTCTTTAACTTCCGTGAAGCGATCTGAACACAAGTAAGATATCGTTTCAGGCTTCCACAACGCTCGCTTCGCGCACTCACAAACATAACCCATTTAGCACGGACTGCGGGGTCCTGTGGAAATCTGTGCATGGGGACACCATCGCCCGACCCCTAGGAGCAATTGACGACAACGCAACGATTCGGCATGTCTTCGTTGATGTCGAGAAATCATCAAAATGACGAGCTTGCTACACACTTTCTATACAACTAACTGAAAATCGTTCCTCATATGACGTCACTGCAGTGCTCTGGCGACAGAGTTACGTAACCTGTCTGTGGTTTCGTTGGCGGGCGAGAGTGAAGCAGGCGACAATTAATAGTTAAAAGAGTACAAATAAACAAAGTTTATTTGTTCTTTAAAGCACTAGCTCATCACCCCGAAGACCCGGGTTCGATTCCCCACATGGGTACAATGTGTGAAGCCCATTTCTGGTGTCCCCCACCGTGATATTGCTGGAATATTGCTAAAAGCGGTTTAAAAGCAAACTCACTCACTCATAGACACCTCAACACCCTTTTCTGCAAGGTCCAGATACATAAAGCGAGTTTAGTTCTAAGGCAGTCATAAATAGTGGTGTTCCGATTAATTGAAGTGATCGAAGACTGATTGCACTGACTGAATGACCAAGTTTTCTCATAATCAAACACAAACAATTTTAGAACACTTGTTTGCATTAACAATATTTGTCACAAGGTTGGTTTTGTATGTATTGTTAATATTACATTTTATAAGCACTGCAATCTTGTTCCAAGTCATGACTGAATATATCTTAAATACTCCAGGAACTTTATGTTCCTAATATATTAGTCTTTGCTACAAGGGTGCAAGTTGCAAGCTGGATGTGAAATTTGCAATAACAGGAAAATTTGAGAAATGGTGCTAACCGATTATTTTCGACGATTGAACAGTTTTAATTAACCAGTCATCAAATTATGAGATTTTGACCAATTCCCAACACTCGTCATAAAGCCCATACTTTAACATATACTTTTGACAATTGTAGCACTGAAATCACTTTGTGGAACTGTACATGACTCATTCTCTTTCAAAAGGGTAGACTTCCCCTGAGAGAATTCAGACTGTCCTTACTTGTTGAAAAGAAAATGTCAGATTATTTTATATTCCTTTCCACAAACACTGTCACAATATCTATCATGATACTGACATACAGTTGTCTGAACTTCAGGACCTTGCAATTAGGAGTTTTATCTCCAGCCATGGCATTATCTGCTGAAAATGTGTTTCAATCAAGAATTACTTTGACTATGACCATGGTTTTGTCAGCACCATACTTTTGTCAAAATCTGTGTCATGTTTGCTTTTTCTCCTATATCATATTATCACTCCGTTATTTAACAGGAATACTGTTCAAAGTGTTGATAAACTCAATTCCCTCACTCGCTGTCATGAAACAGGTTTTGAGGTAAGACTTGCAACAGGGTATATTAGTGTATCAACTTGAAGATAATGATGTTTTGCTACAACAAACACTAGTAGCATTCTCTCAAACAGAAACACTAAGGACCAAACACATGTAGCAGTAGAAATGACAGTGTACTGACCGTTGTTAGCCTTTCTGGGAATCGGTTGCCGACTGCAGAGTTAAACAACATGCATTCATTCTTTTGAGTATTTTGTGTGATCTGAATTGTTTCCCTATGATAACAGTAAAACGTTGTCAACTTTATGTCAGTTGTAGATGATGCTTTATCTATTTCCAGGGTGATGATCGAGGTGATGTGACTGCCCGGTCCGAGGCTTCCTCGTCCGATAGTTTCAGTTCCACGACCGCCATGTTGGAGTTCGAGTCAGATGCCTCTTGCTATGAGCTATACTCAGTCATAGGTAATGTTCAAACCTCTTATTCAAAAATCATCTTATTCAAATCAGTTGTCTAATGCCATGTTATTGTTATGTGCAGAGTTACATTCCTTTGATATGCCAGGATCCTATCATGATAGTTGCAAATCTCAGATTACAGTGATAATGTGTTACAAGTTGTAAGCATCATACCCATGTTCATGTACCGTCCATGGTGTACTGGTTAGAGCGTCCGCCCAGAGAGTGGAAGGTCGTGGGTTCGATCCCTGACCGCGTTATACCAAGACGTAAAATATGGTACTTGCTGGTCCCTGTCTGGCGCTCGGCATTAATGGGTACAAAAGGACTGGTCGGCTCGGAGTCAGTATAATGTGTCTGAGTGGGGTATTCATCCTTCACTGCGGCATGGTATCTCAGTGGGCTAGCACTATAAAACCAGCTTCAGCCTGGGCTAGTACAAGCAGCCGCACATACACATACACACGCATGCACGTCGTCTTATGAGCGAAATATTCTCAAGCATGACGTTAAACCCACTTTCACCTCACCTCACCTCACCCATGTTCGTGCATGCTGCTCAATGCTTGTAGACTCTCTGCCCACATTAGCTGACATGCCATGGTATAATGGAATCAGGGTTCAAGTCAGCATCATGCCACTCACTAACTCTTCTTTAACTTGTGTTTGTCAGTTTCAGTTAACATCAGTTATGGCCATCAGTTATGTTAGAAGTTGTTCATTTCTGACCTTGCTGTTTCTTAGGCAAAGGGCATCAGGACACTGCCACCATATCACTGGCGAAGCACCTGACGTCTGGAGCAACCATTGCTATCAAACGTACTGACCTGGAGGCCAATGATTTGGATCTGAATTTACTACAGGTAATAGAGCAGGTTCAGAACACAAGCTCCTCTGGGAACAGACTGGTGTTTATGTTGGCAATCCTGTTCCTTAATTGTTCAAGTCACTTTTGATCACATCAAAACAGGTACCTTTAGCTTCAAGACAACATGAATCACTTTTAACTTCAAGATAACATGAATCATTTTTAACTTCAAGACAACATGAATCATTTTTAACTTCAAGATAACATGAATCAAATTTAACTTCAAGACAACATGAATCATTTTTAACTTCAAGATAACTTGAATCAATTTCAAGATAACATGAATCAATTTCAAGGTAACATGAATCAATTTTAATTTCAAAATAACATGAATACCTGTTAACCTCAAGATAATGCGAGTCTCCTAACCTCAAGACTCTAATAGTGATAATTAATGCAGAAATTTGCCGGGACCAACGAAAAGTGTTTACTTATCAGGTCTGTTTAGTTAAGCGGTCTTTACTTAGGCGGTTTCCACTGTATGTCAATACCACCTACAGCTAATCTGATTGTAATGTCTTGGGTATTGGATATTCTCCATTGCAGAAGGAATAAGATATTAACTGAAAGAGATTACCTGGTTCTGAGTGAACAAATGACAGTTATAAATGAAGTTTGAAACTCTGAGTATGTTTTCTAAATCAAGACTCAATAATTCTCTCTGCTCTGACTGCACCGTGTCAGACTGAGAGCAGATGAAATGTGTGTTTCTGAGCCTACATTGGTTCATGTTTATCTGCTTCCCCAGCGGGAGATCGTCCTGTGTAAGCAGTTGCAGCATGAGAAGATACTGCCGCACTACAAGAACTTCATCCACGGGCAGGAGCTGTGGTCAATCATGCCACTCATGGCCTTTGGTGAGACTTTACACAACTTCCATCATGCTCCTAGAATTGATGCATCAGACCAGTTTTTACTTCATTACAATTATATCCTATTGTGAAATACTAGACACCATTGCACAATATAATCAGGCATTTATAATTCTAATGTGGGATTTTTGCTGACTTACCTTAGAGCTGGACCCAATTCTACATAGCCATCTTAGCCTGTCTGTCATAAGTCAGTGTTAAAGTATTGTAGTTATGATCAGTTTAGTGCTAAGATCTTGGATCTATGATGCCTAGAACTCCCTGAATTACTAGAGTCCCTGGTTGTATCTGTGAGGAAATATGTTTGTATAATACATAGGTTCGAGTCGTGATTTGGTCCACGCTTTCTTCACCATTGGACTTCCCGAACAAGCTATAGCTTACATTCTGCGAGACACTCTGTTAGCACTGGAGTATCTACACAATCGAGGAATTATTCACAGGTGAGCATTAACCACAGTTATTCAATCCTGCCACTATTCTGCAAGTTAATCGTTGTGCTGAGACTGTTGTTTAAGAGGACCCAGTAGCTGGTGTGTTTGTTTGAGACAGTTTTACCGGTATGTACTTAGGGTATGTTATTTTAGGAAAGCAATCAATCAATTAGTGAAAACCTACTTTTAGGAGAATATTCGTAGTATATTAAACGGGAATAGCAAATCATATCAAAGCAAAACATGCCAAAAATATTTGACTATACTGTGAAGCACAAACCATTGACATCACAACAGGTCCCAGTACCTTGAATGTTACATGTTATACCCTGGAAACTTCGAGAATTCAGAAAATGTACCGGGTAACATCTAGTTTTTATCATATATTCCAGTATGTATTCCTTGTTTGCAAGGAGAATCCAATGACATATTGGAATAAAACAGTATAGTGTGAGGTTTAATGCAAGTAATTTAATCTTCATTCTGTCTGACAATATGCTGAGTTATCACAATAGACGGTGACATATTTGTTCCAGGGGTATCAAAGCTAGTCATATTCTGATCTCGGCAGCGGGGAAGGTGTGTCTGTCTGGGCTACAGACAGCCATCTTCATGATGCAGGATGGCAAGAGACTAAGAGTTGTCCATGACTACCCAGAGAATGCTATAGAGCACCTGCAGTGGTTCAGTCCAGAAATACTAGAACAGGTCTGTATGTGAACTTCTGTTGTAACATTTCATTTATATTCACTTTTACCACCAGGTTTATACTTCTTTGCCCTGATAGTGTATTTGGTTTAGTCAGCAGATATGCCCTTGTTCATGGGTCTGGGACCTTTTAATCTTCAGGCTTTCTTCTCACACGAGTGAGTTCAGTTTTACATCGCATTTAGCAATATTTCAGCAATTTCACAGCAGGGGACACCAGAAATGTGCTTCACATATGGTGAATCGAAACATGTGTTCGGCGTGACAATTGAACGCTTTAACCACTGGGCTACCCCACATCCTCCTTCCTACATGAAGCTGACATGCCATGATATACATCATGTAACTTGAATACTGTTCAAAGCTTTGCCAACCCAACCCACTCAATCCTTGGGGAACCCTTAATTTTCCTTCTGACATTTCTGTTGGATCCATGGAATGAATTTGAAGTCACAAACATCTCATATTGTGTGTTGTCAGAAATAACTTGAAAATTGTCAATGTTTGATAAATTTGTTTTCCAATCTCATATGTAGCAACTGCCTGTCTGCAGTACTGTGCTTCTGTCCTTTGGTCCATCTTAGTATTCTGGGTTGAAATTGATCCCCACTATCCCATGCTTTTCTAAATTGGTCTAATCAAGGTGTGAATATTTTCAGACTGTTGTAATATAGCTTGGAAGGTGTTAACACTCATTCTGAATCCACTGTGATCCTACTCTGAATCCACTCTGATCGTACTCTGAACCCACACTGAACCTACTCTGAACCCACTCTGATCCAACTCTGAACCCACTCTGATCCTACTCTGAACCCACTCTGATCCTACTCTGAACCCACTCTGTTCCTACTCTGATCCTACTATGAACCCACTCTGTTCCTTAGCTGAACCCACTCTGTTCCTACTCTGAACCCACTCTGATCCTATTCTGAACCCACTCTGAACCTACTCTGATCCTACTCAGAACACACTCTGATCCAACTCTGAACCCACTCTGATCCTACTCTGAACCTACTCTGAACCTACACTGATCCTACTCTGAACCCGCTCTGAACCTACTCTGAACCTCTCTGAACCTACTCTGAACCTACTCTGATCCCGCTCTGAACCCACTCTGTTGCTACTCCAAACCCACTCTGTTCCTACACCAAACCCACTCTGAACCCACTCTGTTCCTACTCTGAACTCACTCTGTTCCTACTCTGATCCTACTCTGAACCAACTGTAGACCCACTCTGTTCCTTCTCTGAACCTACTCCGAACCCACTTTGTTCCTACTCTCAACCTACACCGAACCCACTCTGTTCCTACTCTGAACCCACTCAGAACTTTCTCTGAGCCCACTCTGTTCCTACTCCAAACCCACTCTCAACCCACTCTGTTCCTACTCTGATCCTACTCTCAACCAACTGTGGACCCACTCTGTTTCTACTCTGAACCCACTCTGATCCCACTCTTTTCCTACTCTGAACCCGCTCTGTTCCTATTCCATATCCACTCTGAACCCACTCTGAACCTACACCGAACCAACTCTGTTCCTACTCTGAACCCACTCTGTTCCTACTCCAAACCCACTCTCAACCCACTCTGTATCTACTCTGAACCCACTCAGAACTTTCTCTCAACCCACTCTCTTCTACTCCAAACCCGGGGGGCGGTGGGGTAGCCTAGTGGTTAAAGCGTTAGCTCGTCACGCCGAAGACCCGGGTTCGATTCCCCACATGGGCACAATGTGTTAAGCCCATTTCTGGTGTCCCCCACCGTGATATTGCTGGAATATTGCTAAAAGCGGCATAAAACTAAACTCAGTCAGTACTCCAAACCCACTCTGAACCCACTCTGTTCCTACTCTGAACCCCCTACTCTGAACCCACTCTGTTCCTACTCTGAACTCACTCTGTTCCTACTCTAAACCCACTCTGATCCCACTCTGTTCCTTCTCTGAACCCACTCTGAACTTTCTCTCAACCCACTCTGTTCCTACTCCAAACCCACTCTGAACCCACTCTGTTCCTACTCTGAACCCACTCTGTTCCTACTCTGAACTCAATCCGTTCCTACTCTGATCCTACTCTCAACCAACTGTAGACCCACTATGTTCCTACTCTGAACCCACTCAGAACCCATTCTGAACCTACTCTGAACCCACTCTGTTCCTACTCCATATCCACTCTGTTCCTACCCTGAACCTACTCTGAACCCACCCTGAACCTACTCTGAACCCACTCTGAACCCACTCTGTTCCTACTCTGAACCCACTCTGTTCCTACTCTGACCCACTCTGTTCCTACTCTGAACCCACTCTGTCCCTACTCTAAACCCACTCTGTTCCCACTCTGTTCCTACTCTCAACCCACTCCGAACCCACTCTGTTCCTACTCTGAACCCACTCTGATCCTACTCTGATCGTCTCTGAGCCCACTGTTCCTACTCTGAACCCACTCTGAAGCCTCTCTGTTCCTACTCTGAACCCACCCTGTACCTACTCTGAACCCAGTCTGAACCTTTTCTGAACCCAGTCTGAACCTACTCTGAACCCACTCTGTTCCTACTCTGAACCCACTCTGATCCCGCTCTGAACTTTCTCTGAACTCACTCTGTTCCTACTCCAAACCCACTCGGTTCCTACTCCAAACCCACTCTGAACCCACTCTGTTCCTACTCTGAACCAACTCTGTTTCTGCTCTGATCTTGCTCTGAACCTACTCTGAACCCACTCTGAACCTACTCCGAACCCACTCTGAACCTACTCTGAAGCCACTCTCTTCCTACTCTGAAGCAACTCTGTTCCTACTCTGTTCCTACACTGATCCCACTCTGTCCCTACTCTGAACCCACTCTGAACCTACTCTGAACCCACTCTGATCCTACTCTGAACCTACTCTGATCCTACTCTGAACCTACTCTATTCCTACTCTGAACCCACTGTTCCTACTCTGAACCTACTCTGAACCCACTCTGATCCTACTATGAGCCCACTCTGTTCCTACTCTGATCTTACTCAGAACACACTCTGATCCTACTTTGAACCCACTCTGATCTGACTCTGTACCCACTCTGAACCTACACTGATCCCACTCTGATCCTACTCTGAACCCGCTCTGAACCTCTGTTCCTACTCTGAACCCACTCTGTTCCCACTCTGAACCCACTCTGAACCTTTTCTGTTCCTACTCTGAACCCACTCTTTTCCTACTCTGAACCCACTCTGTTCCTACTGTCAACCCACTCTGTTCCTACTCTAAACCTACTCTGAAACCACTCTGTTCCCACTCTGAACCTTTTCTGAACCCAATCTGTACCTACTGTGAACCCGCTCTGTTACTACTCTGAACCCACTCTGAACTTTCTCTCAACCACCTCTGTTCCTACTCCAAACCCACTCTGAACCCACTCTGTTCCTACTCTGAACTCACTGTTCCTACTCTGATCCTACTCTGAACCAACTGTGGACCCACTCTGTTCCTATTCTGAACCTACTCTGAACCCACTCTGTTCCTACTCTGAACCCACTCTGAACCTACACCGAACCAACTCTGTTCCTACTCTGAACCCACACAGAACTTTCTCTGAGCCCACTCTGTTCCTACTCCAAACCCACTCTGAACCCCATCTGTTCCTACTCTGAACCCACTCTGATCCAACTCTGAACCTTTTCTGAACCCACTCTGAGCCTACTCTGAACCCGCTCCGTTCCTACTCTGAACCCACTCTGAACTTTCTCTCAACCCACTCTGTTCCTACTCCAAACCCACTCTGAACCCACTCTGTTCCTACTCTGAACCCACTCTGTTCCTACTCTGAACTCACTCTGTTCCTACTCTGAACTCACTCTGTTCCTACTCTGATCCTACTCTGAACCAACTGTAGACCCACTCTGTTCCTACTCTGAACCCACTCTGAATCCACTGTTCCTACTCTGAACCCACTCTGATCCTACTCTGTTCCTACTCTGAACCCACTCTGTTCCTACTCAATATCCACTCTGAACCCACTCTGTTCCTACTCTGAACCCACTCTGAACCCACCCTGAACCTACTCTGAACCCACTTTGTTCCTACTCTGAACTCACTCTGAAGCCACTCTGTTCCTACTCTGTTCCTACTCTGAACCCACTCTGTTCCTACTCTGAACCCACTCCGAACCCACTCTGTTCCTACTCTGTACCCACTCTGTTCCTACTCTGATCCTCTCTGAACCCACTCTGAAGCCTCTCTGTTCCTACTCTGTACCTACTCTGAACCCAGTCTGATCCCACTCTGAACCCACTGTGTTCCTACTCTGAACCCACTCTGTTCCTACTCTGATCCTACTATGAACCTACTCTGAACCCACTCTGAACCTACTCCAAACCCACTCTGAAGCTACTGTTCCTACTCTGAACCTACTCTGAACCCACTCTGTTCTTACTCTGAAGCAACTCTGTTCCTACTCTTTTCCTACTCTGATCCCACTCTGTTCCGTACTCTGAACCCACTCTGTCCCTACTCTGAACCCACTCTGATCCTACTCTCAACCCGCTCTGATCCTACTCTGAACCCTCTCCGAACCCACTCTGTTCCTACTCTGAACCCACTCCAAAACCCACTCTGTTCCTACTCTGAACCCACTCTGAACCCAGTCTGATCCCACTCTGCACCCACTCTGTTCCTACTCTTAACCCACTCTGTTCCTACTCTGAACCTACTCTGAACCCACTCTGAACCTACTCCGAACCCACTCTGAACCTACTGTTCCTACTCTGAACCCACTCTGTTCTTACTCTGAAGCCTCTCTGTTCCTACTGTTTGTACTCTGAACCCACTCTGTCCCTACTCTGAACCCACTCTGTTCCTACTCTGAACCCACTCCGAAACCCACTCTGAACCCACTCTGAACCCACTCTGTTCCTACTCTGAACCCACTCTGTCCCTACTGTGAACCCACTCTGATCCTACTCTCAACCCGCTCTGATCCTACTCTAAACCCACTCCGAACCCACTCTGTTCCTACTCTGAACCCACTCCGAAACCCACTCTGTTCCTACTCTGAATCCACTCTGTTCCTACTCTGATCCTACTCTCAACCTACTCTGAACCCACTCTGAACCTACTCCGAACCCATTCTGAACCTACTGTTCTTACTCTGACGCAACTCTGTTCCTACTCTGTTCCTACTCTGATCCCACTCTGTTTGTACTCTGAACCCACTCTGTCCCTACTCTGTCCCCCACCTCCGAAACCTCTGAACCTACTCTGAACCCACTCTGTTCCTACTCTGATCCCACTCTGTTCAACCCACTCTGTGTCCCTGAACCCACTCTGATCCTACTCAATCCCGCTCTGATCCTACTCTGAACCCACTCTGTTCCTACTCTGAACCCACTCTGTTCCCTCTGACTCTGAACCCACTCCTACTCTGAACCTGACTCTGATCCTACTCTGCAAACCCACTCCTACTCTGATCCTACTCTCTCTGAACCCACTCCAAAACCCACTCTGTGTTCCTACTCTGAACCCACTCTGTTCTTACCTGAAGCCTCTCTGTTCCTACTGTTTGTACTCTGAACCCACTCTGTTCCTACTCTGAACTCTGTTCCTCTGAACCCCAGTCCCACTCTGAACCCACTCCCACTGTTCCTACTCTGTTCGTACTCTGAACCCACTCTGTTTCTGATCCCTACTCTGATCCTACTCTGAACATACTCTGAACCCACTCTGTTCCCACTCTCTGATCCTACTCTGAACCCCCACTCTGTTCCTACTCTGAACCCACTCTGTTTCTTCTCTGATCCTACTCTGAACATACTACCTACTCTGATCCTACTCCAACTCTGTTTGTAAACTCTGAACCCACTCTGTCCCTACTCTGTTCCTACTCTGAACCCACTCCGAAACCCACTCTGTTCCTACTCTGAACCCACTCTGTTCCTACTCTGGACCCACTCTGTTCCTACTCTAAAGCAACTCTGTTCCTACTCTGTTCCTACTCTGAACCTACCCTGAACCCACTCTGTTCCTACTCTGAACCCACTCTGTTCCTACTCTGAACCCACTCTGATCCTACTCTGAACCTACTCTGAACTCACTCTGTTCCTACTCTGATCCGACTCTGTTCCTACTCTGAACCTACTCTGAACCCACTCTGTTCCTACTCTGAACCCACTCTGATATAACTCTGATCCACTCTGAACCTACTCTTAACCCGCTCTGAACCCATTCCAAACCCAATCCTAACTAACCCTGAACCCATTCCAAACACTCTATTAACCTACTCTGATCCTACTCTCCACCCTCTCTTAACCCATTCTGAACCCATTCCAAACCCTCTATTAACCTCCTCTGATCCTACTTTGCACCCTCTCTTAACTCATTCTGAACCCATTCCAAACCCTCTATTAACCCACTCTAATCCTACTCTGCACCCTCTCTTAACTCACCCTGAACCCATTTCAAAATATCTCTTAACTCACTCTCAACCCATTCCAAACCATCTCTTAACTCACTCTGAACACATTCTAAACCTTCTCATATCCCAAGTCCGGTACTTTCAAAGTAAATTTAAAACTTACCAGGATTTTAAGCGTAGAATTTTTGTGATTTTTAATTATGGTTTAATTTGACTGCAATCACCAGCGGCTGAAGGGATGATGTAAATCCAGCTTGGGTCCATGTAGGTAGCAAAGGTACAGTAAGTCCCCATGATCCCTAGTATGGTGATCAACCTTCAGTGTTGGTGATCTATAACCCGTGTTTTATATTGTGTTGTTGTCTCTAGTGATTCATTTTTATGGTAGTGTACTAGTTTTGAATTAAGAGCTGTGATAGTCTAGTATTTTTAATGTCTTTCGACGACAGGCTTTTATGTTCTAAATTTATTGATTTTAATATTGATATAAATGAAATTGTTCTCGTCATGATATGGCTGCAATCTTGTCGATGTGACGCTAAATATTAACTCACTCATTCTCATAACTCACTCTGAACCTGTTCCAAACCCTCTCATTTTGAACTCACTCTGAACCCACAGTGAACTCTTTATAAAACAACTCTGAACTCATTCCAAACCCTCTCTTAACTCACTCTGAAGCCATTCCAAACCCTCTCTTAACTCACTCTGAACTCATTCCAAACCCTCTCTTAACTCACTCTGAACCCATTCTCAACCCTCTCTTAACTCACTCTGAACTCATTCTCAACCCTCTCTTAACTCACTCTGAACACATTCTAAACCCTCTCTTAACTCACTCTGAACTCATTCCAAACCCTCTCTTAACTCACTCTGAACCCATTCTCAACCCTCTCTTAACTCACTCTGAACTCATTCCAAACCCTCTCTTAACTCACTCTGAACTCATTCCAAACCCTTTCTTAACTCACTCTGAAGCCATTCTCAACCCTCTCTTAACTCACTCTGAACTCATTCTAAACCATCTCTTAACTCACTCTGAAGCCATTCTAAACCCTCTCTTAACTCACTCTGAACTCATTCCAAACCCTCTCTTAACTCACTCTGAACCCATTCTCAAACCCTCTTAACTCACTCTGAACTCATTCCAAAACCTCTCTTAACTCACTCTGAACTCATTCCAAACCCTTGCTTAACTCACTCTGAAGCCATTCTCAACCCTCTCTTAACTCACTCTGAACTCATTCTAAACCATCTCTTAACTCACTCTGAAGCCATTCTCAACCCTCTCTTAACTCACTCTGAACTCATTCTCAACCCTCTCTTAACTCACTCTGAACACATTCCAAACCCTCTCTTAACTCACTCTGAACACATTCCAAACCCTCTCTTAACTCACTCTGAACTCATTCCAAACCCTCTCTTAACTCACTCTGAACACATTCCAAACCCTCTCTTAACTCACTCTGAACTCATTCCAAACCCTCTCTTAACTCACTCTGAACCCATTCCAAACCCTCTCTTAACTCACTCTGAACTCATTCCAAACCCTCTCTTAACTCACTCTGAAGCCATTCTCAACCCTCTCTTAACTCACTCTGAACTCATTCTAAACCCTCTCTTAACTCACTCTGAAGCCATTCTCAACCCTCTCTTAACTCACTCTGAACTCATTCTCAACCCTCTCTTAACTCACTCTGAACACATTCCAAACCCTCTCTTAACTCACTCTGAACACATTCCAAACCCTCTCTTAACTCACTCTGAACTCATTCCAAACCTTCTCTTAACTCACTCTGAACACATTCCAAACCCTCTCTTAACTCACTCTGAACTCATTCCAAACCCTTTCTTAACTCACTCTGAACTCATTCCAAACCATCTCTTAACTCACTCTGAACCCATTCTCAACCCTCTCTTAACTCACTCTGAACTCATTCTAAAACCATCTCTTAACTCACTCTGAACCCATTCCAAACCCTCTCTCACTAACTCATTCTCCTGAACTCACTTCCCATGTTCCAAACCCTCTCTTAACTCACTCTGAACTCATTCTAAACCATCTCTTAACTCACTCTGAGCCATTCTCAAACCCTCTCTTAACTCACTCTGAACTCATTCCAAACCCTCTCTTAACTCACTCTGAACTCATTCCAAACCCTCTCTTAACTCACTCTGAACCCATTCTCAACCCTCTCTTAACTCACTCTGAACTCATTCCAAACCCTCTCTCTTAACTCACTCTGAACCCATTCCAAACCATCTCTTAACTCACTCTGAACTCATTCCAAACCCTCTCTTAACTCACTCTGAACCCATTCCAAACCATCTCTTAACTCACTCTGAACCCATTCTCAACCCTCTCTTAACTCACTCTGAACTCATTCCAAACCATCTCTTAACTCACTCTGAACCCATTCCAAACCCTCTCTTAACTCACTCTGAACTCTTCAAACCCTCTTAACTCACTCTCTCATTCCAAACCCTCTCTTAACTCACTCTGAACTCATTCCAAACCCTCTCTTAACTCACTCTGAACTTCCAAACCCTCTCTTAACTCACTCTGAACTCATTCAAACCCTCTCTTAACTCACTCTGGAAGCCATTCTCAACCCTCTCTTAACTCACTCTGAACTCATTCTAAACCATCTCTTAACTCACTCTGAAGCCATTCTCAACCCTCTCTTAACTCACTCTGAACACATTCCAAACCCTCTCTTAACTCACTCTGAACACATTCCAAACCCTCTCTTAACTCACTCTGAACTCATTCCAAACCCTCTCTTAACTCACTCTGAACTCATTCCAAACCCTCTCTTAACTCACTCTGAACTCATTCCAAACCCTCTCTTAACTCACTCTGAACCCATTCTCAACCCTCTCTTAACTCACTCTGAACTTCTCATTCTTAAACCTCATTCTCTAACTCGAACTCATTCCAAACCCCTCTCTTAACTCACTCTGAACTCATTCCAAACCCTCTCTTAACTCACTCTGAACTCATTCCAAACCCTCTCTTAACTCACTCTGAACTCATTCCAAACCATCTCTTAACTCACTCTGAACCCATTCTAAACCATGTCTTAACTCACTCTGAACCTGTTCCAAACCCTCTCTTAACTCACTCTGAACCCACAGTGAACTCATTATGAAACAACTCTAAACTCTATTCTAAACCATCTCTTAACTCACTCTGAACCCATTCTAAACGTTCTCATAACTCTCTTAACTCACTCTGAACCCACTGTGAACCCACTCAGAACTCTTTATGAAGATAAGATAAGATAATGCTTTATTATCCCAAAGGAAATTTGCTTTACACTCATTCTTAACTCATTCTCAACCCATTCTTAATTTAATAGATGTGTTTCATATGTTACATGTTGCAGAATTTATCAGGCTACGATACAAAGTCTGACATCTACAGTCTGGGCATTACAGCTTGTGAACTAGCCAATGGCCAAGCTCCCTTCACAGACATGCCAGTCACACAGGTACGTAGCAGTAGGAAGTACTGTCAAGTGTCAAGACACAAGTTTAGATCAACTGCAGATTGATGTTTATGTCTACATGATGTAATGGTTGAACGAAATTAAGATTTGAAGTATTTTGCTTTGATTTTCAGATGCTTCTTGAAAAGCTGAATGGAACTAAGCCAATGTTAGCTGATTCAACAACTGTAGGGAATTTTGTAACAGAGGATGCTATTTCAGAATCTGGTAGGATGAAGTTGATATAAAACAATGGTTACATTAAACTGTGTTAAATTTACCATGCTGCATTGTTCCTATACTGAAATTGCCGTGAGGTGTTTTGCTACTTTATTCTTGAAAGAAAAAACTGCAGCCAAACTTCATGCTTCAGACAATTCAGCCTTGTTATTCTAAGTTGTGTTATTTCCAGAACTGCTTGTAGTGGCAAACAAATACAGAGTGAGCTGAATTATGCATTTCTTCACATATATTGAATAATTGTTCTAAAAAAAATTTCAGATGGTGCACGAGCTGATGATGCAAACAGACCTGAAAAAGTATTCTTTGAAAGAACATTTTCACAACATTTTCACAATTTTGTGTCACTATGTGTAGAAAGAGATATCGAACAAAGGTAAGAGTCAGATTTGCAAGAACATTGATATGTCTTGTGTTTCTACTGATTGTTGTAATATGTATCAACAAGAATGAAAGGTACTGGTTTGTGCTGCATTATTTATAAATGAAATATTGAGTCAGATTTTGTATTTTCTTCCAGGCCAACTGCTACATCTTTACTTAATCACCCACTGTTTAAGAATTTGCGACGGAAAACATCGGAGGCCTTACCAGCTTTGCTGCATCCAGTCACACCCTTGACGGACATCAGTAAACTGCCCAAGGGTCAGACACAGTTCCTCATCTCTCACACATCACTAGCAAGGGGCGGTGGGGTAGCCTTGTGATTAAAGTGTTCGCTCATTATACTGAAGACCCGTGGTATCAGGGGAGGCAACTCTAGGTTGCTTACCTTAGCTCGTGATATGACAGGGTAGCCCAGTGGTTAAGGGATTCACTTGTCATGCCGATTCCCCACATGGGTACATTGTGTGAAGCCCATTTCTGGTGTCCTGCGCCATGGTATTGCTGGAATATTGTTAAAAAAAGCGTAAAACTAAACTCACTCACTCATCACTAGCAAACACCCTGCCTTACAACGTTGTATTTACATTGGTTCAGTACCAAACATGAGAATAGAGGCAGGTGACATCACAGTGACATGACAAGCTTGTGACATGACAAGCAGGTGACATCACAGCTAGCATGGTGATGTCAGGATGTCTGTAGATATGGGTTTGTACAAGACAGCAATCATCAGATGGCTAGATATTATTACAAGTAATGATAATGCATCATATTGAATCAGGTTAAAATTAAAGGACTTACATTTAGGGAAATTTGGTGTTGATAATTAAGCAAACACCCTGTGCCTAGTGAAGCTATGTATATATATTCCTTTTGTTTTAGGGATGGAATGACATGGAATAACAGGTTATGTGTGGATGATAATTTTTAATCATGGTTTATAGTTACTAAATATCCACGTATTACTCTTCAAGTAATGATAAAGCTATCATAAGATAGGATAAGTATATAAATATACAATTTATATTAAAATTTCCAAATTGATGAGAAATGACCAACATGTTCCTTCTTTGGTTCAATAAATATTTTTCACACAAATAACCTTTACTTGTAATTAGAGGAGGCAAAATAGATATGTTGGTCAGATTCCATAACATTGTGCTTGATGGCAAGGGACATTGGTCATTATATCAATCACTGCTTTGTGAGATTACATAGTTTACAGGTAGTCAAGATATACCAGTAGCATGAATATTGGTGACTGCCGCTTTTAACAATAAGGAATCAGAGTTATTTTGATGTTTTCTTTCAGACAACTCGCCATGTCTGATCTGACACAGCAGCTTGAGGAGGTGTCCATGGAGGAGGACTGGTCGTTTGACTGACAGCACAAATCAAACCAACTGTCCTTGTTGGCAAGAATAGGACTGTCAAGGATAGATGTTTGGCAAGATCATTTTTGATGAGAATGATATATTTAGCTGAAGTTGTTCTAAGGAAACTACGGATTTGCCTTTGATCCTTGTTAAAGACAAATTGTAGTTAGCCTGAGATCCTTGTTAAAGATACTTGGCAGTTAGCCCAAGATCCTTGGCAAGGGTAAATGGTGGTGTGCTTCAGATACTTGTCAGAGATAAATTATTCTTTGTCTCAGATCTTTATCAAACATAAATGGTTCTTTGCCCAAGATCCTTATCTGAGATGACTGGTGTTTTGCCTCAGATCTATGTCAAAGACAGCAGGGTTGTTTGCCAAAGGTTCTTGACAAAGATAAATGGTAGTCTTCAGATCCTTGTCAAAGATTGATTGTTGCTTGTCTGAAATTCTTGTGAAAGAGTATTGATGAGTTGCCTGAGATCCTTTCAAAATACTGGTATGGTTTGGAAAAGACCCCTGTCAGTGTAATGGCAGAGTTTATAATATCCTTATCCAAGATAGCTGATTGTTTTTCTTAGGTTTGTCTAATATTCTTATCCTGCAGTTGGAGTGAAACTCATGCAGGGCTTTGACAACAGATTTTGTCTGAAGTCTTTGTCAAATATATGGTATACCAGACTAAGTAGCATGAAGATAACTCGATGTTTGGCTGAGATCTGTGACAATGGTCAATATGAGTTTGTTTGGGATACTTGACAACGGAACTGCAGATGTTCCTGAGATCTTGCAACTGTGACAATCTTGCAGATCAGTGAGGAATGTGTGTTTATCTGAGATTACTGTCAAAAGGAATGATGTGTTCAGCTGAGAAACCTGTCAGATTTTACCAGAAGACTAAATCAGAAACATGACACTTTCCAACATCTATGTTGCTTGTAAGAAGTTCCAGGACTACCTGCTGTCCATTCTTCATGTGAATGTTGTATAGCTGTGTTTGACCAGACTGACTGTATGCAAGATACATGTGAACGTGAAATGTAGACATTTGACTGTTTTGGGTATGAATCGACTGGAAAGGAAGAAAGCTGGAAATCAAGAAAGATTTTTGTTATGAGGATGGTATCCTTACTGTGTTTCAGTGTCAAACTTGTCCAGAATGTATTTGGCCTAGTTCTTTTGTAGGCATCTTTCTTTTCCATCCTTAAAATGATTCTTGCAAACAGTCCAAGAGATCACATCCTGTCATCCATCAGTGTAAGGCTATGTTACATGATTGGAGGAAGTGAAACCAGCACATGGAGTTGTAATAGTACACAATGTTATTAATGTGTCCTTGTTTGTCTCACTGAACACTCATGCTTCTCCTGTCATCCACCAGTGTAAGGCTATGTTACATGATTGGAGGAAGTGAAACCAGCACATGGAGTTGTAATAGTACACAATGTTATTAATGTGTCCTTGTTTGTCTCACTGAACACTCATGCTTCTCCTGTTGTCCACCAGTGTTTAACCACCAGATATAGGCAACTCACATCACACGTGTGCTGTCATAGTACAGTATAAGGGTATGTGTTCCACTATGTGCAACATGGCCAACAGAGGTGTGGGAGGCACAGTTGACTTAGGAATGCCACTATGGAAACCTGTGATCATGGGTTTGTCAGGTACCTGAAGTTGTTGGTTTCACCATGGTGGTAAAACATAAGTACAATGCTTTTACAGACAAGGAAAGCTGTGAGGAACAATTCCCAAATTCCTTTTCAACATGTACTTAAATCAGCAGGTTATGAAAGATGCTTGAGACCTCAAGAACTTACTGAGTTCAATTTGTCAGTAATAAACTGTAAGGATATCATTCTGGTTGTATTTGAAGTAATTTCCCTGGAAATAATCAAAAGTGACAACATGAGTTAGAACGTAACCTTATATTAGAAAGTATTATGAAAGTATAAAAAACAACTCCTTAACATCAGAGTTCATGTATTTTTTAAGTTAATTTTGGTAATGATTTCAGTGTGGAAATCTTTTGTAATGTGTATTTTCTGTTGTTTAAGAATACAGGTACAATTGTGTTGTATGTCAGTTATTTCAAACCGACCATTTGTGATTTGCAGGTGGAATTGTAGTCACAGTATGCTAAATAAGGACGTGTGTGTTGGATGTTAACTCCACTTATTTATGTGAAAGACAGGAAGTTGATGGGATGAGAGTGTGAGGAAACAGGCATGTAGAGAGCTACTTCAAGTTCTCCCATACACAGGATTACATTAGAATGATGACATCATGGTTAGGATCTTCTGCATGTTGTGACAGTGAAACATTAGCATAAGGTGATTTTTCATAATTGCACTTATTAGAAATATGGCCTTGACATCTTGAGGTTCATGAAAGTTTTGCAGTGTATGGGAAGAAAACTATATGAAAAGTGTCAAACACTTCAAAAGGTTTTTGTGCCAAATCAAGAGAACTTAATTTACACATGAAAACAGGTAGGGTATCATCCACGATGAGATATGTAATATGAGATTTTCATCAGCTGTTTGTTCACCGTGACCTAGTCTCGATTAACAGGTGTTCAGTTAAACAAGTAGTACTCTTTTTGTAGACATTCCTGACAGAATCTTCCTGACATACATTGTTTCACTGTCACATATTTATGCGACACATCTGTGATTTATTATATTAGTGTATTAACTAAAGACACAATATAATTGATATGTGATATCACTATGGAGCCAAGGAAATACATCCTATTTATTAAAGTTTGGTCATGTATCATTTCTCTATTTATCATTACAAAGACTGTTAGGACAAAGTAAAATGTGCAGATACTGTAACATTAGCTTTTAGATATCCAGTTAAGATGTATGATCGCCATGCCTTTCATGGATTTGGGTGGAAATAATGGCACAGTTGGTCCTTAAAAACGGGAAACATGGTTTCCAGCTTCATACAGGACTGACCCTGTTGTACTTAGGGGTGGCCAGGGCTTAGGTTCTCAGACAGCAGGGGCGGATTCAGAGGGGGCTGCAGGGGTGCGCAACCCCCCCTCTCTCCTGAATTTTTTTTCTGAGGCGCATTTTCCCCTAACTTTTGGACTTCATGATTTATGTGCATCCCCCCCTTATCCAAAATCCTAGATCCGCCCCTGGACAATATAATTTCAGTATATTCTCCAATACATTTTTATTTGGAAATGAGGTTCGAAACTTTTTTCATCCATCTTTTTCCATACATTTTCATCTGGACATGTTTCATGACCATTCAATGATTTCATTAACCGTTTTGTTTTTAAGAACAGATGATGTGTTAACATAGCTTCACCTGGACTCTCCACTGTAAACATCAGAGTAATGTTATCTCTTTGTATGTTGTTCATGTCTGTCACTGTTTTTGTATGGACTCCCCTGAAATACATCTGCATCACTGAGTACGCTACAAAGTCCAAGAGTAATAAACATTATCAACTGCCTTGCTTGTCATGTTTGGTTTCCCTCACCCAGAGGGTGTAGCACCATTGTTGGCTGTGTTTAAGGTTCAGTTCATCACCTGTAGCTTTGATGGAGGTAGTGTAACCAGGGCTGGACAAAGGTGTACAAATGGTAGATTGTTTGTCGTGAAGTTATGCATGATGGCATATTAATACTTTAGCTGGAGGGTGATACAGACTGAACAAAGCATTAGGGACACAGATAATTCTGGCCGTATAGTTTTGTTTAAATGTGCGCTTATTCTTAGCTAAAATTCAAAATCAGATAAGGACAATCTTTATGGATGAACAACTTCTTTGTAGGGAAATTTGTCATTTCGATACAGATTCTTGTATTGTTGTCAAGCAAGTATCTCATGCGTGGTTGACAATGATAAAAGAATCTGTATCGAAATGACGCAGCTCCCGAATAAAGAAGTTCATCCATAAAGATTATCCTTACCTGATTCACCAGCTTCTAAATATGCCACTCAAAGAAAATTTGAAATCTTGAAAATATCCATGATCCCCAACTGTTCTGTTTAGTTTGGCCATGTATGAACAATCACAGTCAAGACTGTAACTATATAAATATTTAAATGAGGCGTATATGTTTCGACCATGCTTTAAGAGGTATGATTTTTGTCTTTGAAAATGGAGCCAGATGTTTTGATTTTATATGTTATGTGATATATTCTTATGTTATTCAAGCTTCTTTGGAACAAAGTTCCTCATACTGATGGTTGTCAATCATACCTGTACAATCACAGGTGCAAATCAGTGTGTGCAGGTTGTCAATCAAGTGACACACTTGAAAGTGGATCTGAGCTGATGCATGTTGTCAGTCATCCATGAACAATCTTACAAGAGAGTTTGTACTATGCCCTGTAATCATCCAAATGCAAACTTGAAGAAACAGGTCATTTTCAGCAACCTGTACTTATACAAGGCGACCAACAGGAACTGGTGGTCAGTCTTGCCATCATATGGCTGTATTACTACTCTAGACAACAGGCAATATCAATATACGGTTTCAAGACAATTGCCTCTTCCACAAAACCAACACACACGCACACACACACACACCGTCATTGTCAGTCATGCTTCAAATATAGTCATCCGGACCTTTAGTCATGTCGTCAGAAAGTCATTTCCAAACTGTCAGTATCAGGCATTGTAAATAAGGCTGAACAAGAGTTCTAGGAAGTCTAATGGTTCCTTTGCCTGACAACCTGTAACTGTAGTTGTAGAATGGTGGTATTGGATAGAACATGGATACAACCCTCATCTCTAAGGCAGAGTAACAGTGATACCCTGAAGTTACCTGTTCCTGATGACATTCACCAGATCTGACTGATCAGTGACTTCAGCCTGTATTAAACAGAAAAGGTCCCAGTACGTATTATCTCAGCATGTGGAATTCTGGTTCACACTTGAATATATAAACTATAGGTGGATCCGGGGAGTCCTCTCTTTCCTCCTTCCCTTGTTTTATCTTGAAAGTTTTTAAATGACCATTTAAACTCTCGTAAAAACGGGTGAAAATGAACTGTGGACCCCCCTTTCTAAAAAAGCTGTATCCGCCCCTGTAAACTAATGTCTTTTTATTTGTGTTATGATTTATATTTCAACACATGGTCCTTATATATCCCACATAGCACCGGGAGATGTTATTTGTATATCTGAGTTTGTGAGTATGGCCCTTGTCTCTTGAAGTAGTCCACGGCCTTGACCCTGTAGCTCCCAGTCACCATCTTGTCTCCGATGTAACCTGGACACAACAACAGATTGAGTCTTACAGTTTGCTGAATGAGGGAGATTCATGTGTGTGGGAACATTAATTCAGTGATAAGACTGGGAGGAAAGACGAAGCCATGCAGGGTTTCGGGAACACCAGGTGTCATGACTATTTTAAAGTAATTCCTGAACATAAGTTTAAGCTACAGTCAGAAGCATACAGTGGAATCTGCTTCATATGGTTATGGAAATGGTTGCGTTACTTCTATTTACGCTTCTATTTACTTATTTACCACTTTGGTGACACCCACCCACGGGCATGGGTAGGGTATAACATTACGAGTGGAGTGTACATTTAACGTTTCACAGGTGTCTACTGGTAGAAACATTTGGTTAGTATCTTGAACGAACCGGTGGCAGGATTAGGTTGCGGGGCAATGACGACTGCTGTGACGATTGTGTCCTCCTCGTTGGCCCTCTTGAACCCGGCTTCTGATCCATCAGCAGAGTACTCGACGATGTACGTGAATATACATCTGTTGAAATAAGGAACATTTAGGCAGGGGTGAGTGTCTCAGATGTTCTGACTAAGTGCTGATGAGACCTGATATGAATGTTTCCTCAGAACCAAGTTTAGCATGAAGCAATACGAAGGTCTGGCGACACGCTTTTACAAGTCACAAGACCATCTTTCATCCTATGAATCAGAGCGTCGCTTACGGGATCATGAAAGCGAATGTGTCGTCTTATTATGCAACCTTAGAAACATCCAAACGGGCCATTTCAAAGTGAAGAAATCATTTGAAACGAAAGAGACTTTCCACAACCATACTACCATACATACTAGGCTATCTGTAGGAAATTCCACAATTTTCCCATTTTCTTTTTCATGTTTTCAAAGATTTCCCATAGACCTAGATGAAGCTGCTTTCTGAAGGCTAATATTGATTGACTAGTGTCCTTTCATTCGTGGATCAAATTTTGCAAAATGTCTCTCTGGTGTAATCTGTAATGGGCTGGCCTCAGATGTTCATGTTGCGATCGCGAGTAGTAAACTCTAACATATACTTCCTTTCAAAAGTTTAGAATCACTAGTGTAAATATAGCCACTTACTTCAGGCAACTGTTCTAAACTAAATATTGCAAAATATTCCATACTGTTTAAAGGTATTGCTTACAATACTGATGTATTGTAAAACAAATTCGTAACGTTGACAAGATTATTGTCATGAATTCAATAAATGATCAAAATCAGTGAAAATTGGCGAATTCTTAACAAAATTTTACACCTAAATGCGGCTGTTCACATGCACGATATTTGCATTGATGCATGATCCTCTTGCAATTCATCTGCGTAAGGTTTGCAGTTGGTTCCCGAAGTTCGTGGAGAAATCAATCTTCGATGTAACCACATATATATCCATAACATATAGTGAGTGTTTTCAGTGAGTCTAAACTTTTGAAAGGAAGTATATAATGAGACTGAGCGTGAATTCTCATTGCAGCATTTATGGATCATCAACAACACCCTGGAGTCATTCGCCACAACTCTGACTTATCATGAACGTATCACAGACTGTCCTTTGCACGAAAGTCAAAACCAAACGTTTGTTTGGATTTGTTTCAGAATACCTCTTGTTGAGATTGGTACCTCTTGTTGAGATCATCGGGTTGATGATGACAATGATGCCATCTGAAATACCATGATTACTTATACATGTGATTTGGTATCCTTTGAGAGGATAGTACCACACTGACACACACATACTGCCAAAGACAGAGTCTCATTGTGCCAGAACCGCTGGCTGGATCACTGTATCAAACAACTACACAACAACACTGTTGTGTCAGAACCGCTGCACCACAACACCATTGTGCTTGAACCTCTGCAGCACTAGACCGCTGTGCCAGAACCGCTGCAGTACTGACATAACTTACTTGGTCTTGATGTTGTCATCAGACCAGACAACCAGTATCTGCCCTGAAGTGATGTTGATGAAGCGTAGACCAGTCACCTGTAACACATGGAAAGGATAACATAGAGAGGCTGATTCATATGTAATTGTCTCATTCATTCGGCACTTATAAGGTCGAGTTATACAATGTGTGAAGCCGTGATATTGCTAGGATATTGATTAAAGCTGCTCCCTCATCCAAGGCTTCTGCTAGAATGCCTGTAGTTTTCCAACCACAATTCACACACCGCCTGCCGCACCTCTGAAACTCAATCCTAAAACCTCAGTCTCACCGACCACGCACCTCTGACCAACAATCCCAAAACCTTAGTCTCACAGACCACGCACCTGCTCCGGAGGGTATGTGGACTTGGCACACAGGTGCATGAGAAGCACGTTATCTGTGAGGAGCTGGAACATGGGTGGAATCGGCACCTGGGAAACGTTGGCCGGCACCGGGTACGATGTCCACTTCACTGGACCCTGAGATATAACGTGGATATAAGTACATCCTAGACAAATACAACACAGCTGGTCGACCAGCACTCTTCAACGCTGGGTTTGACTGAAGGTTATGCAGTCTGCTATTCAATACTGATCAGTAAAGGCATCCCAAGGTCAGGTTATTTTGGCGGGAAAGGTGAGGCCTTTACACTCGGGTTATTCCGAGTATTGTATGTTACTGGGTTCAGTTTACAGGGACGTTGATCTACAAAGGGTTTCGGAGGCCACCCAAATGTCAAAGTTATTGCTGCTTTAAGTTTACGACTTCGGCATCATTTTACTCCGACAGATTTAACTCCCGCATTTCCCCCATAGAAATGGTATCATGGGTTGTCAAACCTGTGTCTGTTAAGTAGTGAGATGGTAGAGTTGATTGCACTATTCACACAACACACCCGATCTTTCATCATGAAGAAATCATTAAGACTGCTGGCGTTACCTGTTGTTGCCTGATGGACTTGAACTGTGCGACTGTAGGGAAGTCTGGTTCCTTGTACAGGCCTCCCCACACCCCCATGGGATCACCCATGTCCCAGTTGACCCCGTACTGGACCATGAACAGCTCTGGAAACAATGGTGATTTACAGATAACACCGCTTACCGTCCTTAACGCCGCATGAATTGAGCTGAACAATATCCTCGCCAAATTCAGTTACCTTTCATATAGTGAGCAATATCACGGCGGGGACACCAGAAATCGGCTTCACACATTGTACCCATGTGGACAGTTGAACCCGGGTATGCAGCGTGACGAGCTGGCGCATCAACTACGATGTTACACCCACCGCCCAAATATTAAGGTATTGTTGAAGACAGGAAACAAGGAGAAAGCTAAAAGAATCTCTTCGGAAATTTCGCCCCGCAAGAATAAAAGGTCAATCCTGTCTTCATGAAATATACTGAACATCATTGAAAACGCACCAGTCTAAAACTGTCCATATTTTCATCGTGGATGGATGTCAGCATGACAATGATCAGTGAATATAACTAACATGAAGTCGAAGGGCATGTCCAGTTGAAAAAATGCTTTAGAAACAAATCCTGTCCACAGTATGACTCTTAATTCCAAAATGCACCAACATGCAGCCACGCCATGAAAAAAGTGCGAATTTCATTCTGAAATCATACTGACTGTGACATTAAAAGCAGGTGTATGAGAACCGATTCTCATTGCTTCACTAACGATTGTGAAACGAGGACAGAGATGCCGAGGTTAACACCTCACGAAAGAGAACGTGCACTAGGCATAATTCAGGTTGGCACCAGCAGCAGGGATATTGCTCGACAACTTGGACTTGGCCACTCCACCATCGTTAGGCTTCATAAACGACATCAGTAGACAGGCAACACCCGTGACCTTCAATGACCTTGGCAACAACGTGTTACGACGCTCCATCAAGATCGCCATATTGACCATGTCCATATCAGTGATTGAACACTGCCGACTGCCAGGACTGCTGCACTAGCTGCCGTCTACACGCCACAGGGTTCCATGCTCGACGTCCTTACGTTGGACCAATTCTGTCTGACAGACACCGTAATGAGCGTATACAATGGGCTAGCAGGCATTTTCAGTAATGGTTACAACAATGGCATGGTGTGGTAGTCACTGACGAGTCACGTCTTCATCTACGTAATGCTGACGGCCGATTACGTGTTTGGCGTAGACGTGGTCAACGTTATGCTGATGAGTGTGTGGTTCAGACAGACCTTTGGGTGGTGGGAGCGTCATGGTCTGGGGTGGAATAAATTACAATCACAGGACTGCCTTCATGTCTGTCAAGGGAGAGTTAATGCCCTTTATTACCGTGAGCAGATTCTTCAGAATCACATCGTATCACCACCAAGATGTCCATACTTTCAACAGGACAACGCACGGGCACACACAACAAGACTTTCCATACAGTATCTGGCCCAGCAACACATCCAGGTTATTCATTGGCCAGCACAGTCGCCAGATGTATCCCCCATGGAGTACTTGTGGGACGAAATTGGTCAAAGTCTTTCGCGGCGACAACAGATGCGAAACATCCGGGAACTTGAGGCTGCACTACTGCAGAAGTGGAATGCCATCCCCAAGAACTCTATTCGGACGCTTATTGACTCCATGAGGAGACGTTGAACTGCATGTGTCAATGCAAATGGCGGTCACACGCGATATTGACTTTTCAATTTGACCCCACGTGTGTTTGATCCTTTCTGACTGTGGAACATTTCAATGAATAAGCGTCTTTTCTGTGTTGTTGTTTTTGTCAGTCTTCAATCTGTTATTATCCACTCAAAAAATATCAATTCCTTACACATACTCTTAATAATCTGAACTTTTATAAGTGGTGCGTTTTCAATGAAGTTCAGTATATATTGAAAGAAACTAGATTCATAATTTTAAGGTACTCACAACTGATACTTGCTACTTAGCAGACAATTCAAATATTGATATATTTACCTTCAGTGCCCTGTGGAGGTCTGATGTTCCAGTCCACACTGAGAATACCCCAGTTGCCATCGTCGACGTCGTTGCTGTTGTAGATCATCAGAGCACTCTGCCAGCTGTTGAGACGTACATGTCAAGATGTTCACGATGTCCACGAATGAGTAGATTGTTGGGATGTTGAGAAATCAAAACCTATCGTGTTAATATTTACGGGATGCTTGTTGGCAATGCAGCTTTACTCAATCATGTCAACCATCTTCAGGATCGTACATCACAATGTTCCCTCATTCGTTGAATTACCCCACGTAGGTACTTGTCACAGAGAAGAACAATGCTGCCACCTCGTCCATATTGTGCAGGAATGAAATAACCATTTTGCGCCACTCGGCCGATGACCTTTCTCAAATACTGATCGTATAAACGAAATAGCTTCTTGCACTACTCTGTTGGTAATTACCAGATATCTGAAGACATTGTCAGCTGCCATATCGGCAGTTGAGATACGTGTTTAAATTGAGTTAGTGTGTCTAGTTTTACGTCACTTTCAGCAATATTCCAACAACATGATGGCGGGGGGTCACCAGAAATGGGCTTCACACATTGAACAATATGGGGAATCGAACCTGGATCTTCAGCGTGACGAGCGAACACTTTAACCACTTGGCTAAACACCCACCCACGCTATCTGATGAGTGAGTGAGTGAGTTTATATTTACGCCGCACTCAGCAATATTCCAGCTATATGGCGGTGGCCTGTAAATAGTCGAGTCTGGACCAGACAATCCACTGATCAGCACCTTGAGAATCTACGCAATTGGAACACTATGAAATGTGTGAACCCAGTCAGCAAACCTGATCACCCGATTCTGTTAGTCGCCTCTTACGACAAGCATGGATCACTGAAGATCAACTGTAGCCCGGATCTTCACGGGTTGCTATGTGATGGGCAGTAATTGAGGCATGTTCCACCAGTACTGTACCTGTCGGAACTGTTGTGGTCGGCTGGCGGCTGATGGAGGGTCGCCAGGCCACACACCGAATCCAGTGTCACACAGTTGAAGCCTGCAACAGATGTGACAGGGAGTCAGTGACCGTCGATGTTGTTTTATGCCGCACTAATCAATAGTCTCACTATATGAAGCTGGACTTCACACAGCCTAATGTGGACAAGACAATCTAGTGATTAATATTATGAAACCACAGCCATCACGGCCTAATACTATGCATTACCTCTAAACCATGCTGGAACTTATGCAGAGTTTTGTAACTTTTGACTTACATTAAACGGAAAAAACAACTCACCACCGCTGTCTAAACTAACTTGTTGGTCGCCTAGCAATGAGAGCATTGCCATTGCAGCGTAGACTGGTTTCGGACAAAGGTCACGTGAGCAGGACTGGTGTTGTTCATTTGAAACCTTGCTAGTAAAGTGCGCTGTGTAAACTGATTTGGGTAATAACTTAAGAAGCCGTTATCGTTGCTTAGCAACTGATAATTAATATTTCCAGTCTGGTTACGAATGATGATATTTTGATGTTGTGCTATAATCTGAAATAAATAGAAAATATTAAACAAACCTCAATAAAAATTATCAGCGCTGACCAAACACTGGAACACAGGATATGGTAGATTCTAATGCCGTTTAGAATTAATTTTTATACGCATTTTGTCATATCAGGCCCTAACTGAAACAATATATTTGTCACAACATGGCAAACAAATAACTGATATGAAAGAATTGAATGTTTTTGTTATATTTTACAGATGTTTGCATATATACTCATGTGCATACTTATTTATACTTCTTTGATACTGATGATCCTGATGGAGTAATCAACTGTTACCTTGGCAACAAAAGCAGCATATCTGGACGTTCCCCGCCACTGTTCCGGTCTACTCCAGAGCTTGAGGGGGTCAGCCTCGCTGTGAACCAAGATATATACACAGAGTCAGCCTCGCTGTGAAGCAGGACATATACACAGAGTCAGCCTCGCTGTGAACCAGGATATATACACAGCGTCAGCCTCGCTGTGAACCAGGACATATACACAGAGTCAGCCTCGCTGTGAAGCAGGACTTATAGGTAGTGTCAGCCTCTGCTGTGGAGCAGGAATATACACAGAGTCAGCCTCGCTGTGAAGCAGGACATATACACAGTGTCAGCCTCGCTGTGAAGCAGGATATATACACAGTGTCAGCCTCGCTGTGAACCAGGATATATACACAGTGTCAGCCTCGCTGTGAACCAGGATATACACACAGTGTCAGCCTCGCTGTGAAGCAGGATATATACACAGTGTCAGCCTCGCTGTGAAGCAGGATATATACACAGTGTCAGCCTCGCTGTGAAGCAGGATATATACACAGTGTCAGCCTCGCTGTGAAGCAGGATATACACAGTGTCAGCCTCGCTGTGAAGCAGGACATATACACAGTATTCAATGTACAACCCAGTATTCGGCATCAGAAGTTTACAGGGTCCCGGTCCACAAAGCATTCGTAGCGCTATGACATTCGTAATCCTATGGTAAATTATAGAGTTTTGCAAACTTTTGCCATCGCAACATGGGTTATGATATAATGATCTATGTTACAACTCACTTTGGGTTTTTTAAATATATTTTCAGATACGTATCTCCAATCGCACCTTTTTCACCGCGATTGTGAGAATTGTGTTAAGTATATATTTAATGGTGAGCAATGAGAGCCAGAGGCATACTATTGATGGTATTCAGGATGCAGTGTATGAACGTGGGGCTGGCACCGTGAAACTTCTATCAACTTAAATTCTCACCAGGAAACAGAAACGTCAAAAGTTCAAATGGCACCACACCAGCGTGTACTGTAAGCTCACCTATACTGATCAGTACCTTCAGCACTCATCAAACCATCCCCAACAAGTCAAGAGAGGAATAATGGCTACCCTAACTCGACGTGCCAAAAACATCTGCTCCACACCTGAACAACTGGAAGCCGAACTCCAACACCTGCGCCATGTCTTCAAGACCTACAACAACTACCCTGCCAGCCTTGTAGACCGCACCATCAACGACACCCTTAACCCGATAGACAAGCCCCCACGCCAACAAACAGCTCCTTTCATCATTAGCCTGTCCTATATAGGTTCAGCCAGCTACCAGAACAGCCGACTCTTAAAAACACCAAGCCAACATTGATGTTGTGTTCCAGGGAGGCAAAACTATACAGAACATTCTTCAAGCCAATGGCAGACCAACCCTCCACAACGAAAGAAGATCCTTCAGGCACAGTTTACCACATAAAGTGTGACTGTGGTGACTCGTACATCGGCGAAACATCAATACCCCTCCTTGTAGAATCAAAGAACACCAAACCACTGTGAAGAAGAAAGATTCCACATCTCTGACTACACCCAAGCTCAACCATACCACAACATCCTTTGGAACAGCATCAATGTACTCCTAGTAATCACACCCACTACACGAATCAGGAAACTACTAGAAGCCATTCACATCAAGAGACTGCCACCAACTCATCACCGAGCAGTCTTAATCCAATAAGGGGCGGTTCGGTAGCCTAATGGTTAAAGCGTTGGCTCGTCACGCTGGACCCGGTTCGAATCCCCACATGGGTACAATGTGTGAAGCTCATTTCTGGTGTCCCCTGCTGTGATTTTGCTGGAATATTGCTCAAAGCGGCGTAAAACTAAACTCAGTCAGTCAGTCAGTCTTAATCCAATTATTCTCCTGTCTATCATGTCACTGGTTTCCCCTCATTACTCCCTCCACTGTTAATTCTGCTTGTGTAACAATTGCCTTCTTGTATAAACATCCTCCAACCTTATACATCAACCTTATTAATTGTGTAAACATCTATCAAGTTACTGTTCAACTATACTATGTATTGCATATATATACATCACTTGCTTGATAACGGTGTCAGTAGCTACACCGAAACGGCGCTCATATCAATAATAAAGCAATAGTACATCCATAGAACTGTCCCCGTTGTTCAGTTCACAACCATCTTGTGGACTAGCGTTTCTCATCTGTCTTTACAAAAAATGACTCCTCACTCATTATAGAAAGGCTTGTTGGCCAGGCTAGGGTGTAGCTTCCGGATGACCCCCATAGAATGGACCTCGGCATTTGTAATGTTGGCAGCGTGGGAATCCCCCTGGCAATGACGAGATATATGTCAGGTGAACAAATACAGGTGTCTGTGCAGCTGAGGGACGCAACTCCATACAACACTTTGCGATCTCTTGAACACGACATCTAATGATTCAGTCTTATAAATACACACTACACCAAAGGTTTGAAGGGAGACGAAGCCGATCCTCACAGACAGCTAATGAATCCCGTATATACATCCTACACAAAAGTCTAACCTACCTTCCTGTGCAGGAAGTGAAGTCGACTCTCACATATCTAATGAATCTGTCATACCTATACTACACCAAAGTTTAACCTACCTTCCTGCACAGGTGGTGACGTTGATCCTCACTGATATCTCATGAAACCCGTTTTATACATACTATACCAGCTAATGATTACGTCTTGTCAACGCACAATACATTACACCTCCCTGTGAAGGAGACGAAGTCGACCCTTAACAGGCACCTTATGTCTCTGCCATACCGATACTATACCAAAGTCTAACCTACCTTCCTGTGCAGGGAGATGAAGTCGATCCTCACGCCCTTCTCGCCGCTGAAGTAGTTTCTTCCATTGACCACGTGATCCAGCAAGGCCTCTGCAAACTTCTTCTTGGGCCTGGGGAGGGAGGGAGTTCGGAAGGAGTCACGGGACGACCCAGGCCCGCCCAGTATCAGGGAGGGGTCAGCCGCCTTCAGGCCCTCGGAGCATGCGTCGTAGTAATTCAGAAAGCCTGCACAAAGTAGGTTATATGTAGGTTTGAAAGGGCGTTAAGTCTCACAGCTCTCACAATTCCAAAGATCCAAAGATTGTGATATGTCTGCCTAATACTCGGTGGACTTTGAAAAACAAATATCAAAATCACTTTTGCAATCTGGAGGTAATTAAACCTATTGAACGGTTTCCGTGCGGACTGAGTGACATGGTAATCCAGAATATCATTACATTATGCTCAGGTCTTCATTCTTATTATCCGTGATAACCCTACATGTTATAGGGACATGCAGCCTGGTGATTCCAAGGCTAGGATGTCCAGTGTGACGTGAATACCTTGTATAGTGAACGTGAGATTATCAAAGTCCTCGCCGTCAGGCTCGTTCCATGTCTCCCAGTTCCACGTCTTCACGTAGTCCAGCCCATACTTACCTGAAACATAACGTGACGAGCATCAGTCTCTTGTGTCGCCTTACATGTCAGCTACACCATTAAAGGCACGCACTACCATTTTATCACCATCGTACACTTGGTGGTTACTGTGCCTTGTTGGTAACATCGTGATGCGCATGACCAACATGAATAGCATGTTTTGTGAAGCAGAGTCAGATCTTGATCTAACCAAGCCCTGTATATGCCTATACTTCTCTGACCTGAACATTGCATGCACTAAGCGGTAGAAGATTACCCTCTCCTACCCAGAATTCGAAGCGTGTGATTTAGGGGGAAACATGACCGATAATGTACGACAGCCGATAGGCTGAACCCCTTCAAATGGATAGTCTGATGGTCACGCTAACTTAGAACATGTCAGACTCACTGACCGAGAACTCTGTGGAATAGTATGGCTCCAGTGAGAGACCCCAAGACTTACTGATGTATCTCTGTGCTATGGCCTGTACCATGTCCCTCCACATGTACACCTGGGCCTTCTGTTCCAGGTCCGTGTACACGTTAGACGGGTTACCCATGATCTCGAAACCCGGCTTCAGGGCGTTCACGTACAGCAGGTCCATCAGGCCGTCCATGTCGGAGAAGTCGTACGTCGCGTTGCCGTTGTTGAGGCTGCACATAGATGCAGTACTATTAATATTTTAGCTTTCAATATGAATTCAAGAGTGACTGATGGTCCATTAGTCCGAGTTGCAACTGCTGAGAACGTTATTATTCATATTACCTCAAGTATCTTCTTTAGAAAACGTGCAAATTGTATTTGGTCAGTTGTCATCTGCTGGAACTACGCCACACAACAATGGATTAATTCGTCTGAGACGATTTGTTCATATGAGGTCATATTGGTCAATTGGACAACTGGAAAAGAGCAATGTAACAAAAACCATCACTCAGTGAGAATAACTGGCTATACTTTCACCCATCTCTCCACCTCTGTTGGTAATACATCCCATCAATGTCATCACTGACATGGGCGTCTAGCATTGAAAATACTCTTTATTCGCCCTACGGATGAATAGTAATTATGATTACATTATCACAGCCAAAACCTATTATAAATGGATCTGTTCCAAACAAACCAATCAGTGACCTATCATTTATCAAGCTATTGGGTTACAATTGATGACACACAATCACATTATGACCATGTCGATTGTCACCAAAAGCATGTCCCCCGATCTCGGCATTGAAATTTGTCCACTAAAACAGCAAATAATATGGCGAGACTGGACCCCGTCCATGCTTTCGTTAGCGGAACTCCACCTTGATATAATGGATGAGTGTCTGTCTAGAGAGCGGAAGGTCGGATCTTCGATCCCTTGGCCGTGTCATACCAAAGGACGTTACAACTATTCTTGTTGCCAAACCTGGCGTTCGGTATTAAGGGAATACAAGAAGGGCTCGTCGACATGTCTGAGAGAGGCATCCATGTTAAACAACGACACGGTTCCTTAGTGGGCTGTCACCAGAAACCCAGTCCTGGTTGCTATAGGCACCGAGACACACATAGCCATTTAAGTTAAATACTCTGGAACCTTATCTTCATCTCACTTCTCCTGCAGTTCCACGGCAGCGTCCAAGATGGCCGGACATTGACTACAGAAACCATTGATTTATAAAGAAAAAGACATCCTCGATCATCAAGCGTATTACACCTATTGCAGTCACCACTGTTATACCATCCTGTAATGAGCTTCAGCATGATTTCGAGTGAATAACGCCAAAGATAGGGAACTGGTCAATGGTACGATAATATTAAATTGTATAATATCAATCAATCAATCTTTATTCATACTGAAGGCCACAGGCCCATAGTATACAAGAACATAGTACACAATATCATAGAAAAGAATAAAAATAGTCAAATCACAATATGTCATATCACATCAAAATGTATCACATCATATAACATCGCATTACACATACTTTGTCGTATCACATCATATCATAACACATTATATTACACCATATCATATCATACCATGCGTTATATCATATCATATCATATCGCACCACATCATACCATATCATATCAAATAACAATATAAGTACATACATTCTATGAATTATTATGTTTATTTCTTAGGGACAATGCCTGATAGATAAAGGATGACAACTTACGGATAAGAACATTGTCATCAGAACTCATTAACAAAGAAACTTTCACCCTATCGGGATATACAGAATAATATGTTGGGACATATTTATTGTTAACTCACATTAGAATGGGCAAATTAAGAGGAAGTGATATTCATCTTCTACACAATTAAGATCACAAAATGTACAAATTCTATTTTCTCTCTATTTTATGATATCTCCCTGTTTCGATTGCCAAGTCACGTGAGGAACACCTAAACCGACCAAATGCCTTTCGAAATTTCTTGATATTTAGTGAAGACAGATAATTCTCTCTGTATATATGGGATTTAAACATTCTATAATAGATGATCCTCGATCATCAAGCGTATTATACCTATTGCAGTCACCACTGTTATACCATCCTTTAATGAGCTTCAGCATGATTCGAGTGAATAACGCCAAAGATAGGAACTGGTCAATGGTACAATCATATTAAATTGCATAATAAAAGGAGATATAGTATACGAGACAATCGGGAATGGGTCACAACTGCTACCTTTTAACGAAACAAACATGTTGTAATTATCATACAAATGGAATCAATGACGCTGAAGGACAATTGGGCGTCCTTTCTGTGTACAATAACTTTCCTAGTTTGTTTTAAGATTCATATAAAACACCAATATTGCGGTCATCATCATGTATGTATCGCGACCCACAGACTGACCTTGTGACCTTGATGAGCTCGAGCAGCCAGTGTATCCGGACCTGTTCTATCCCTCTGTGTGGCATGGCGCCAATGTAGGCCAGGTTCTGTTGCATGTCCGGGCTCAGGTCAAACTTGGCGGCATCGGAATGCGGAAGTGGGGGACTTAAAGTAAAATGTGCAAGAACATTTAATGTGTGAACCTTAATCATATAACGTGTTTACCATTTCCAACGCCTGCAAAAGACCTTGCTCCTCCTGGATGACTTCAGGATTTTCGGGAACCATTTTTTCAAATTGGGAATGCATGAGAGTAAAAACGTTTGCTTCAGCCATTTGTATTTGTCATATCTACTGTTAATTTCAGCTCTACAAAGTGACATTTCCACCCAATTAGCCCGTAATCGACTTCGTCTATTGACTCAAATCGTTGAAACCTAACTTGAGACAAATCGAATATGTCAGTGAGTGAGTTGTGTTTGACGCCGCCGTGAACAATATTTCAGTCACGTCACGTCACGTCACGTCGCGTCACCACAGTTTAACGTGGGACAAAACCCTCAGTGAGTTCTTAAACAGTAAACCACCATAGTGAAAGCCATGCACATGGAAATGGGGCTGAGAAACCCAGAAAGATAACCAGTTTGATGAACCGGGATTCGACTGCGTCTAAGGTCACTCAAATAATAACCACCTAGAGAACGAAGTTCCCTAAGACAGTTGTACTGAAGTAGAAAGTAAAACATAACAGTTTTCATGAGCCACGTTCGTCTTGCACGATGTAAACAATATACATGTATGTGCTGTAGGCAGGTATGGTAGGCCAACTGTTATACGATGCTGCAATATTATTAACACACACCAAATGTCTAAATAAACTCTGGAAACATTCAGCTCACCAGAAGCCGGTACTTTTCCAGAAATGATTCAGATCTCCAATGACGTCCCATGAATTCAAGGTAAAGCCGTAGTTGCCTTGTCCCAAAGAGTGCTGTCCGAACAGCGACAGTATGAAGGAAATAATGGCCCACAACATCGTGGTCTGCAGCAACACCTACAACTGCAACAGACTACACCGGTGGCGGAGATATTTACACACTAGCCAAGGTCAGGTACACGTCCGCTGCATAGAGTTTATCTGTAATTATGTCAGCTGTACTGATAGCCGACTCGACCTTGCTCAAAAATGTAACGTACTTATAAAGGTGCATATTATATAAGTATATAAAAGGATACCTTTGTATCTGGCACTATAGTGCATTTACTTATCTGGTTATACAAGATATATATACATTGTTTATTCGTCTGGTTTATCCTTGTAGCCTCGAAGAGAAACTGAGATGTATATATATGATCATGCGTTGGGCATTCCGTTGATATTTGACTGTCACGTATATTTTACAGTGTAGTATTCTCGAGCTGCTTAGTATTTGAATATGGCATATGATTACTAAACTCTTAGTACGTACACGACCATGTTGAGGCTGACAAACAATGAACCAAGCAACAGGTGGTACTTGATACAGGAATGTCGTGTGTTGGACCTTCAGTGTGCTGTGGTTCAGGGATTGGATATCAGACAGCTAATGTTGTGATAGCGTTTGTAATTTATTATATATTTAGTATGAATCAGTTTCGCTGCTACTACTGCTACTACTACTATTGCTCCTCCTACTACTACTGCTACTACTACTACTACTACTACTACTACTACTACTATCACTTTTGCCTGGAATGCCCTTTTTATGGGAAATTAAGAAATATCCTCCCTAAATATTATCACATATATCCATCTGAAGTGAAATTAGCTCAGTTGTTTACATCAATGAATACTTATATTATAAATTGTCTTGCAAAATATATATTTTTCGCCATAAAAAAACGAAATAAATTTCTTTCAGTCTTCGTACCCACAAATGTATAATTGTGCAGCTCTCATGATGTTGTACGGTGCTTAATGATTGTATATTCTGTACACCTGATGTATAATGGGCCTGTGGCCCCTTTACTGAATAAAAGTCTCTCTCTCTCACTACTACTACTACTACTACTACTACTACTACTACTACTACTACTACTACTACTACTACTACTACCTGGGTGGTCAGGCTCGATGAGATGGTTGATGCATATCAACGTATCTAAGTGTAACTAAATGTGGCGTTAGTAGTAGCAGCAGCGCTGGTATTGGAGTGAACATAGATACAATCCTCTTTTCAAAGCGGAGTAACGGCAATGCCCTAGAGTTACCTGTTGCTGACAACATTCACCCAGATCTGATCAGTGACGTCAGCATGTATTAAACAGGAAAGGTTCCAGTACGTAATATCAAAGCATGTGGAACTCACACTTGAATATATAAGCTACATACACAGTTGACTTTTTATTTGTGTTATAATTCATATTTCAATACATGATCAACGTTTCGTTATATACCCCGAAATAGCACCGGGAGATGTTATTTGTATATCTGAGTTTGTGAGTATGGCCCTGATCTCTTGAAGTAGTCCACGGCCTTGACCCTGTAGCTCCCAGTCACCATCTTGTCTCCGATGTAACCTGGACACAACAACAGACATTGAATCTTACCGTTTGCTGAATGAGTGAGATTCATGTCGCATCGAGTGAGTGAGTGAGTGAGTTAAGGTTTGCGCCGCACTAAGCAATATTCCAGCTATATGGCGGCGGTCTGTATATAATCGAGTCTGTACCAGACAATCCAATGATCAACAGCATGAGCATCGATCCACGCAAATGGGATACGATGACATGTGTCAACCAAGTCAGCGTGTCTGAGCCATAGGCTTCAGTCAGAAGCACTCAGTGCATTCTGCTTCATATGGTTATGTCGCTTCTGTTTTCATGTTTACCACTCAGGTGACACCCACCCACGGGCATGGGTAGGATATAACATTACGAGTGGAGTGTACATTTAACGTTTCACAGGTGTCTACTGGTAGAAACATTTGGTTAGTATCTTGAACGTACCTGTGGCAGGATTAGGTTGCGGCGCAATGACGACTGCTGTGACGATTGTGTCCTCCTCGTTGGCCCTCTTGAACCCGGCTTCTGATCCATCAGCAGAGTACTCGACGATGTACGTGAATATACATCTGTTGAAATAAGGAACATTTAGGCAGGGTGAGTGTCTCAGATGTCTCTGATGTGCTGAAGAGACCTGATATGAATGACTTTAGCATGAAGCAAATGCTGAAGAGACCTGATATGAATGTTTCCGCAGAACCAAGATTAGCATGAATTAGGCAACTTTAAAAATATCCAAACAGGCTCTGGCGAAATCATTTGAAACGAAAGAGACTTTCCGCAACCATTACAATACAAGTCAAACAAAGACCATCTTTAATATTGACTGCCTCAACTCTGGCTTTTGTATCATGTGGTGTACGGTGATCACATGTAACTGTCTCTAACAGAGCGAGAATTCTCATTGTAACCTAAGCTTGAAAACACAACAAACCTGACAAAACCTATGTCTATTCTGCAAGCGAACGTTTGGCCTATACACCGCTAGCCATCAATAACTCTCACTGAATCAGAAGACTGCAATGAACAAACTTTATCTTGAAAAGATGTTTCCCTGATCACTAAAATGGCTACGGAAGTCCAGATGCTAAATATGTTACGGGCGTGTGTCCCACGGCATGCGGGGCAGCAGGTGCTTCAGCCGTGAAAGAATTTAGTTGGCGTTTGTCTTAAGACAGTATCGTATCATTAGCATCAGATGGATAATAAATCACCGTGAATGAAGGTAAAGACTTCCTTGCAAGTACGAAGTGAACATCTTCAAAACTGCACGAAAATCAAAACCAAACGTTTGTTTGGATCTGTTTCAAAATACCTTTTGTTGAGAATAATGTCTCGGGTCGATGACGATGATGATGCCAACTGAACTTGTATCAAAACCACTGCCCTCTACACCACTAAACCATTGTGCCAGGACCTTTACACCACTTGACAATTGTGCCAGAACCTCTACACAACTAGACCATTGTGCCTGAACCATTGCAATACTAGAACATCTACACCACTTGACCATTGTGCCTGAACCATTGAAATACTAGAACCTCTACACCACTTGACCATTGTGCCTGAACCATTGAAATACTAGAACCTCTACACCACTTGACCATTGTGCCTGAACCATTGAAATACTAGAACCTCTACACCATTGTGCCTGACCATTGACCATTGTGCCTGAACCATTGAAATACTAGAACCTCTACACCACTTGACCATTGTGCCTGAACCATTGAAATACTAGAACCTCTACACCACTTGACCATTGTGCCTGAACCATTGAAATACTAGAACCTCTACACCACTTGACCATTGTGCCTGAACCATTGAAATACTAGAACCTCTACACCACTTGACCATTGTGCCTGAACCATTGAAATACTAGAACCTCTACACCACTTGACCATTGTGCCTGAACCATTGAAATACTAGAACCATCTACACCCTCTACTTGACCATTGTGCCATTGAACCTCTACACCACTACCATTGTGCCTGAACCATTGAAATACTAGAACCTCTACACCACTTGACCATTGTGCCTGAACCATTGAAATACTAGAACCTCTACACCACTTGACCATTGTGCCTGAACCATTGAAATACCAGAACCTCTACACCACTTGACCATTGTGCCTGAACCATTGAAATACTAGAACCTCTACACCACTTGACCATTGTGCCTGAACCATTGAAATACTAGAACATCTACACCACTTTGTGCCTGACCATTGTGCCTGAACCATTGATTGAAATACTAGAACCATTGAAATCTACACTACACCACTTGACCATTGTGCCTGAACCATTGAAATACTAGAACCTCTACACCACTTGACCATTGTTGAACCATTGAAATACTAGAACATCCTAGCCTGAACCATTGAAATACTAGAACCTCTACACCACTTGACCATTGTGCCTGAACCATTGAAATACTAGAACCATTACACCCACTTGACCATTGTGCCTGAACCATTGAAATACTAGAACCTCTACACCACTTGACCATTGTGCCTGAACCATTGAAATACTAGAACCTCTACACCACTTGACCATTGTGCCTGAACCATTGAAATACTAGAACCTCTACACCACTTGACCATTGTGCCTGAACCATTGAAATACTAGAACCTCTACACCACTTGACCATTGTGCCTGAACCATTGAAATACTAGAACCTTTGCACTTGACCATCGTGCCAGAACCTCTGCAGCACTGACATAACTTACTTGGTCTTGATGTTGTCATCAGACCAGACAACCAGGATCTGCCCTGAGGTGATGTTGATGAAGCGTAGACCAGTCACCTGTAACACATGGAAAGGATAACGTAGAGAGGCTGATTCATATGTAATTGTCTCATTCATTCGTTACTTATAAGGCCGAGTTAGATTTATACAATATGTGAAGCCGTGATATTGCTAGGATATTGATAAAAGCTGCTCGCTCAGCTAAGGCTTCTGCTAGAATGCCTGTAGCTTTCCAATCACAATTCACACACCAAGCACCTCTGATCCACAACCCAAGAACCTCTGTCTCACAGACCACGCACCTCTGACCAACAACCCCAAAACCACTGTCTCACAGACCACGCACCTCTGACCCACAACCCAAGAACCTCTGGCTCACAAGCCACGCACCTGCTCCGGAGGGTTTTTGGACTTGGCACACAGGTGCATGAGAAGCACGTTGTCTGTGAGGAGCTGGAACATGGGTGGAATCGGCACCTGGGAAACGTTGGCCGGCACCGGGTACGATGTCCACTTCACTGGACCCTGAGATATAACGTGGATATAAGTACATCCTAGACAAATACAACACAGCTGGTCGACCAGCACTCTTCAACGCTGGGTTTGACTGACGGGTATGCAGTCTGCTATTTAATACTGTACAGTAAAGGTACCCCAAGGTCAGGTTATTTTGGCGGTGAAAGGTTTGGCCTATACACTCGGGTTATTCCGACACCTGCATAGTCTCCTATTTAATACTGTACAGTAAAGGTATCCCAAGGTCAGGTTAGTTTGGCGGTGAAAGGTTTGGCCTATACACTCGGGTTATTCCGACACCTGCATAGTATTGTATGTTACTTGGTTCAGTTTACAGGGA